GTCTGTTCGTTTAGTGTCGTGGGTCCGTTGTGTGGTATTTTCAAGTTTGTGGCTCTGTGCCAATTGTGAAAATGTCAGCAACTACTCTTTCTGTTGTCTTCTGTGGCAGAATACTGCTTCCAGTAGTCTGTCTGCTTCAAAGGACATCAAATTGGCCAATGGCCCAAGTTGTGTGACATGTCCGCCCTAAATGAATAAACTTCAGTTTACGCAATATGTTTCCGTTCCAATGGTTTGGGCACCAAATTGCTTGATATAATGTTATTTTGTGCCTGGGAATTTTGCAGTGGCTAGTGTTGCCCTGTGGGCAAGCTGTAACATAGCCAGTGGGTTGTATCCTGTATACATTCACTTACGTCGCAGGGGGGGGCAACACTATTTTAATTATTTAACCTTCCCCGTGGTCTTTATATTTAATTATTTTATGCAGTGCAGGCATGTTGGTGTTAGTTGGGTCTAGCAATATTTGACAGTTTGGTTATATGCCAATTGGTTGAGCGCCCCTTTTTGTGCTACCTATGTTGATCGGCATTAAGCATACAAATTTTTAGTGCATATGACATTGGTAACTATCTTCTTCTTCACTTCCTAGAACTATCATTTTCTTCTTCTATTAGATATAGGATGCATTTGTGTGTAAATGTTTTCTATTATGTAGACACTCCCTCAACTTTCCACAAACATCTTTAACTTGAGCAATGTTTTCCAATATTTAGACACTCTCGTAGCTTGTTTGACAATGGTTTATTATTTGAGTTGTTACTTTTTAGATAGCTGATTGCTTTCTTGATGCCCTGTAACTTCTTGACTTTCATGATGACTTGTGACTTGATTTAAATTTCAAAATGTTGGTAAGTTCTGCCAACTACTTTGGGTAAAGATGAATTGGATTCTTTTGTTGTGGTTGACTCTCAATTGATGTCTCAAATGGTAATATTCAACTTAAGATTTTTATTAGGGTCAATTCACGTTAAAAGTGATCCCATGGGACAAGGATTGTGGTTGAAGTGCTAATGCAGTTGCTGTTACGAAACTTTCTGGCGTGGTTCATTGAAAGATGAGCTGGATTCTGTCATTGGGGGGGGGGGGATGGGTTTGTAAGTCATGCAGTTCCCCTACACTTCCCTAAACATTTTAACTCAGAGCACTGTTTTCCAATATGGGGAGACACCCATAACTTTGTTTGATAATGTTTATTGTTTTTGCGCTAATTTTTAGGATGGAGTTGCCAATTTTTCAGATCGTTGCTTGTCTTTCTTTAACTTGTTGATTTTCACAATACTTGGTTGTGGACACAGTATAATGCTTAGCATGCCAACAGATTTAAATCTCAAATGTTAGCAAGTTCTGGCAACTACTTTAGGTCAGGGACATGGTTTTGTTTTCTCCAATCCTGCTTTTCAAAAATTCATTGCATTTAAAATGATATATGCCCAATAATGCTATGTTATCTATTATTCTGTGCTTTTGTTATTGAATAATTGCATTCTTGCTAATAGGAGGTGCACTGCTTTACTATAATGCTGTTGTTTTGTGCCTGCGAATTTTGTAGTGGCTAGGGTTGTTTCTCCATGGGCATGCTTTAATATGGCTGGTGGTCTCAATCTTATTCTTTTGACACTTTTTGCTGCAGGTGGCCTTTTGTGTTTCCTGTACAATCAATGTCCTCATCAGTCTTATGTGGTAAGGAATTGTGGTGTGGTCTGGATGTTCTAGGATTTTTTGCTTTTCACTCTCTCAGTGGTCTTTATTTTTAGCTGTTCCAAAGATAGAATACAATTGGTGTTAGTTTGGTTTATCGGCTATATGTGGTACAGTACTTCTCGTTATGTCAATTGGTTGAGCACCCTTATTTTTGCTAGCTGTGTTGATGGGTGTTGTACATAAACTTTCTTTGTTAGTATTTCTTATCGAGGCACTAATCTCAATAGATTGGTTTCCATCATCTTCTGATGCTTAGATTTTGCATGTTTTTGGTGGGCAGAAATGATGTTAGATTTTTAGTAAGTGATGCTATGATTGATCACATTTTCAAAAGATTGGAAGCAAATCCCCTTTATCTGCTTTGCAGACCATTCAGGCAATTTGGTGGTTGACTCTGACTCATTTCTTCACTCTCGTAATTTTTTTTTGGCAAGAAAGAGTAGCTTTATCATCACAAAAGAAAACAAGAAAGAGTAACTTTAACATCTCAAATGGTTGTATTAAATGCCATTTTCTTCTTTATCCAGAAGGTTTTCATCAAGGTCAACTCAAGCTAAAAGCAATCACATGGGACAAGGATTGTTGTTGAAGTGCTAATTCAGCTGCTGTTGAGAAACTTTTGGTGGGTATTCATTGAAGATGAACATGATTCTGTCATTGGTGTACAAGTTTGCAAGTCATCCAGCTCCCTGCACTTCCTATACACATCTTTATCGCTTATGTTTAAGGCTATTTTTCAATAGGTTGAGATGCATCCATGACTTGTTCTACAATGTTACAGTGGTTTATTATTTTAGAGTTGCTACTTANTCCACTTCCTATACACATCTTTATCACTTATGTTTAAGGCTATTTTTCAATAGGTTGAGATGCATCCATGACTTGTTCTACAATGTTACAGTGGTTTATTATTTTAGAGNTGCACTTCCTATACACATCTTTATCGCTTATGTTTAAGGCTATTTTTCAATAGGTTGAGATGCATCCATGACTTGTTCTACAATGTTACAGTGGTTTATTATTTTAGAGTTGCTACTTATGAGTTTTTTTGTTGGTTAGGTTGCTGCTTATGATGGAATTGCTACTTTTTTTTTAGATGGTTGCTTGCTGTTCTTCTNCAATGTTACAGTGGTTTATTATTTTAGAGTTGCTACTTATGAGTTTTTTTGTTGGTTAGGTTGCTGCTTATGATGGAATTGCTACTTTTTTTTTAGATGGTTGCTTGCTGTTCTTCTGGAGGGCCTGGAACTTGTTAACTGCCCATGATACCTTGGTTATGGACGCAACATAATGCAGACTGTGCTGACAGAATTAAATCTGAAGATGCTGGTAAGTTCTGCCAACGACTCCGGGTCAGGTAAAAGGGTTGGGTTTGTTTTCTCCGAACAACCTTTTGTCCTTTCCTATAGCTGTGTCTTTGTCCAAGTTCCTAGCAATAATGTAAATTACATTACATGTGGTAGCAATTTCAAATACACCCAAGAATCCTATGGTGTTACCCAAAAATGTAAACTACACAGGCGTCCTTGTAGTTTACACAGTAGAGGTCCTAGTTTCTTCATTTATCTCTTCACATCACCTCTATTTTACTGCTGTTTTTGATGGGTGAACCTCGGACCAAACCCCTACTAGCAAGTGACAAGATGGTCATAGCTTTTTTTATGGATCAATTCCACAAGTAATTGCACATTTGAATCATTTCCCACACTTCTTATGGCTCTCACCTTCACGGAAACAACAAAAATAAATTGAAAACCATTGTGCTAAACTGCCTGAACACTTGAAAGAAATTAAACCTCATATACATTAAGCCATCTCCATCCAGTTAGCAGTTTATTGTTTTTGGGCTACTTTTTAGGATGGAGTTGCCAATTTTTCAGATCGTTGCTTGTCTTTCTTTAACTAGTTGATTTTCACAATTCTTGGTTGTGGACACAGCACAGCATAATGCATAGCATGGCAACAGATTTAAATCTCAAATGTTGGCAGATTACTGCCAACGACTTTGGGTCAGGGACATGGTTTTATTTTCTCCTATCCCCCTTTTCTAAAGTTGTATCTTTGGCTAAAATTCATAGCAATAAAAATGATTTGTTACCGATATTCAAATACACCCAATAATCTTATTATGTCAATTATTCTGTGCTTTTGTTATTGAAATAATTGCATTCTGGTTAATAGGATTTGTGCCTACGAATTTTGTAGTGGATAGGGTTGTTTCTCCATGGGCATGCTTTAATATGGCCAGTTGTCTCAGTCTTATTCATTTAACACTTTTTGCTGCAGGTGGCCTTTTGTTTCCTGCACGATCAGTTTCCTCATCAGTCTTATGTGGTAAGCAATTGTGGTGTGGTGAGAATGTTCTAGGAATTTTTGCTTCACTCTCTCTCTGTGGTCTTTATTTTTTGCTGTTCCAAGGATAGAATACAATTGTTTTTTAGGAATACTATTCGCATGTCAATTGGTTGAGCACCTTATTTTTTCTAGCAGCGCTGATGGGTGTTGTACGTAAACTTTCTTTGTCAGTATTTCTTGTCGAGGCACTAATCTCAATAGATTGGTTGCCATCTTCATCTTCTAATGCTTATATTTTGCATGTTTTTGGTTTGCAGAAATGTTATTATTTTTTGGTAAGTGATGCTATGATGGGTCACAGTTTCAAAAGATAGGAAGCAAGCGCCTTTTGTCCAGTCAATTTGGTGGTTGACTATTTGACTCATTTCTTCCCTCTCCTGATTTTCATCTCAAAAGAAAACAAGAAAGATTAACTTTAACATCTCAAATCGTTGTATTAAATGCCATTTTCTTTTCATCAAGGTCAACTAAAGCTAAAAGCCATCACATGGGACAAGGATTGTTGTTGAAGTGCTAATTCAGCCGCTGTTGAGAAACTTTTGGTGGGTATTCATTGAAGATGAACATGATTCTGTCATCGGTGTAAAGGTTGTAAGTCATCCAGCTCCCTCCACTCTTTATCTCTTATGTTTAAGGCTGGTTTTCAATAGGGAGACACATACATGACTTGTTCTACAATGTCCAGCTGCTACTTATAATTTTTTTTGGTAAAGTGGCTACTTATGATGGAATTGCTACTTTTTTTTAGATGGTTGCTTGCCGTTCTTCTGGAGGGCCTGGAACTTGTTGACCGTCCACNCAGCTGCTACTTATAATTTTTTTTGGTAAAGTGGCTACTTATGATGGAATTGCTACTTTTTTTTAGATGGTTGCTTGCCGTTCTTCTGGAGGGCCTGGAACTTGTTGACCGTCCACGATACCTTGGTTATTGACACAGCATAATGCAGAGTACACTAACAGAATTGAATCTGAAGATGTTGGTAAGTTCTACCAACTCCAGGTCTGGTAAATGGATTGGGTTTGTTTTCTCCGAATAACCTTTTGTCCTTTCGGATAGCTGCGTTTTTGTCTAAGTTCCTAGCTATAATTTAAATCACATTACCTGTGGTAGCAATTTCAAATACACCCAAGAATCATATGGTGTTACCTAAAAATGTAAACTACACATGCATCATTGTAGTTTACACAATAGACGTCCTATTTGCCTCATTTATCTATTGACATTGCCTCTATTTTACTTCTGTTTTTGATAGGTGAACTTCGGACCAAACCCCTACTTGTAAGTTTTTTTTTAANATTGCCTCTATTTTACTGCTGTTTTTGATAGGTGAACTTCGGACCAAACCCCTACTTGTAAGTTTTTTTTTAACTGTCCCCTACTAGTAAGTGACAAGATGGACATTGCATTTTTTATGAATCAATTCCACATGTAATTGCACATTTGAATCTTTTCCCACACTTCTTATTGCTCTCACGTTCACGGAAACAACAAAAAGAACTTCTTATAACAATTGTGCTAAACACTTGAAAGAAATTAAACCTCATATACGTTCAGCCATCATCCTCCAGTTGGCATTCTCAGGTAAAGTATCTCACAAAATATGACAGTTACTAGATAGTGGCAAGCATCAGCTGTATTATGTATGTGGTCATTATGATTAATGAAGTTTTGTGAAATTGGAAGCTACACTATAAAGGGCAAACACTCTAGAGTATATAGTGCAGAACTGCAGATGTTACTTAAATACATATTTCCTTATACAAATTGAAGACAAATAGTTATGAAGCAACCAGGTTATGGTCAAGTTCCTGTTGAAAGGAACTTCTTTTTAATAGGTTTCTGCTGGAATAATCTTCTTATTGTGTGATGTATATTAGAGCACCAATTGGCAATGAGGGTAGTAGCCCCTCAAGTATATCAACAAATCTTTGGGTGTTCCCAGTTATTCGATATGAGATGTAAGCTCTCTTTACAATGTAGAAATAAAGAAGCTATATCTACAAAGATTATGCTTCACTGAAAAAGTGAGAAAAGTTATTGCTATCCCAAAATTAGAAGACATTCCCCACCACTCGTGCGCACACATACAGACAGGTTAAGTGAGACACAGGTTATTATTGAACTAGCATTATTTATTTTATCTCGAGGACTCTGCCTACATTTTTATTTTTTGCTATTATAAGGCTAGTGGTTTAACTTGATCATAATGCGTACAGCTTGTAGATGACCTCATTTAGAACCAGAGCTCGGACTTGGCATTCCTGGGGTTTTATGTTGCATCTACCTGGTAGAGACCTTGCGGATTTGTGACCATTCTTAATATCAGATAATACTGCCTCCCTTGTGATAAGTAGCTATCGCAGTCGTGGAGCTGCTGCTTTTGTAGTTGCTGTTGCTATCTCTGTTGTGAGCTGCGTGGGTTTTCTTGCTCACTGGTGGTGATGGTTGTCTGGTAGGTAGATGCTTTGGCATGGTTTAAGAGGCTAGGAGGAGAGCAGCTAGGTTTGCAAGTTTGCTATTTTTGTTAGATTTAATAAGAGCTTGGTGGAGGAGGTGGGTTTTTTTTTTTTTTGGGTTGGGGGGGGGGTTGGTGGTGGTGTGGTGAGGCGTATTTATGCTTGCATTTGGGATTAGCATTGCAGTTACAGGGTGAATAATGGCCTTGGGGAGATGGACATGACTGGCAGTGGGTGGAGGTGGCTGGGTTCACGTTTTGCATGCATCTACCTACGTTTTGCATGGGGTGAATAATGGCCTTGTTGAGGCTCTAATCTCATTAGATTGGTTGCTATCTTCATCTTCTTATGCTAGATTTTGCATGCATTTTTGTGATTATAAATGCTATTATTTTCCTTTTGCAAGTGCTGCTATGATTGATCATATTTTTCAGCAGACTGGAAGCAAAATCCTTTTCTACCTCGTGAGACCACTCAGGCAATTTGGTGGTTGAATGTTTGATTCATTTTTTCTGTCTCTTGATATTTTTTTTCACTCGAGAAAACAAGAAAGTGTAGCTTTGGAATCTCAAATCAATGTATCAAATACCATTTCCTTCGTCCGGAAGGTTTTGATTGAGGTCAACTAAAGTTAAAAGCGATCCTATGGGACAATGTTGTTGAAGTGAAAATGCAGCTGTTGTTGGGAAACTGTTTTGGTAATGTTCATTGACGGTGAATTGGATTCTATCACGGGTGTATGGAGTTGCAAGTCATCCAGCTCCTTTCACTTCCCATTAACATTTAACTCTTATTTTAAGCACTGCTTTTCATCATTTACACTCCTAGTACTTGTTCAACAATGGTTTTTTTAGTTTAGAGTTGTTTTTATGATGAAGTTGCTACTTTTTTAGATGATTTCTTGCTTTTCTTCTGGAGGCCCCTGCAACTTGTTGATTGCTCGTGATCTTTGGTTGTGGACACAACATAATACAAAGCATGCCAACAAATTTAANTTCTTGCTTTTCTTCTGGAGGCCCCTGCAACTTGTTGATTGCTCGTGATCTTTGGTTGTGGACACAACATAATACAAAGCATGCCAACAAATTTAAAATCTCAGGATAGTAAATTCTGTCAACTGCTTTGGGGCAGGTACATGGATTTGTTTTCGTCAAATAGCAATAATGTAAAACAAATGACATCAGTTAGCAATGTTCAAATACACCCAAGATAAAGGAATCCTATGTCGTTTCTTGTTGTGTGCTTTTTTCATTGAATAGTTACATTCTTGTTAACAGAATGGGCAGTGGTTTCTATAAATGTTTTTTTTGGTGCCTGCGAATTGTAGTGGTTTGGTTGTTTCTTCGTGGGCATGCTTTAACATGTTTGGTGGTCTCAATCGTGTGCATAGATTTAACATTTCTGCTGCAGGTGGCATTTTGTTTCCTGCACAATCAATTTTCATATATGTCTTGTGTGATTATAATTTCAGAAATTGTGCTGTGGTGTGGATGTTCTAGGTTTTATGGCTTTCTACCTCTTAGAGGTCTTCACTTTTAGGTGTTTTACNTGTCTTGTGTGATTATAATTTCAGAAATTGTGCTGTGGTGTGGATGTTCTAGGATTTATGGCTTTCTACCTCTTAGAGGTCTTCACTTTTAGGTGTTTTACAATAGCATACATTGTGGTGTTCTTCTTGTATGTCAATTGGTTGAGCACCCCTACTTGNATTTAACATTTCTGCTGCAGGTGGCATTTTGTTTCCTGCACAATCAATTTTCATATATGTCTTGTGTGATTATAATTTCAGAAATTGTGCTGTGGTGTGGATGTTCTAGGTTTTATGGCTTTCTACCTCTTAGAGGTCTTCACTTTTAGGTGTTTTACAGTAGCATACATTGTGGTGTTCTTCTTGTATGTCAATTGGTTGAGCACCCCTACTTGTGCTAGCTGTGTTGATCGGCATTGTACAAACAAATTCTTTGTCAGTATATCTTGTTGAGGCAGTAATCTTATTGGATTGGTGTCCGTGTTCATATTCTTATGATTGATTTTGCATGCATTGTTGTGGGTACAAATGCTAATATTTTCGTTTTAGGTCTAATGTTCGGCAGACTGGAAGCAAACGTCCTTTATCTGCCTCACAGATTCAGGCTGGTGGTTGACTCTTGATACATTTCTTCCCTCTCCTGATTTTGTCTTTTTCACGCAAAAGAAAACAATAAAGAGTAGCTTTTAACATCTCAAATCATTGTATTAAATGGTATTTCCTTCATCCAGGTGGTTTTAATCAAGGTCAACTAAAGATAAAAGCGATCCTGGATTGTTGTGTTAATACAGCTGTTGTTGAGAAACTTTTTGGTGTGCTGTTCGTTGAAGAAGAATTAGATTCTGTCATTGGTGTATGGGTTTGTAATTATAAGTCATCCAGCTCCCTCCACTTCCCATAAACATCTTTTAACTCATTTCTAAGCATTGTTTTTCAATATTTTTAGACACTCCCACAACTTGTTCTACAATGGTTTATTATTCTAGAGTTGCTACTACTTATGATGAAGTTGCTAATCTTTTTTAGACAGTTGCTTGTCTTTAGTGCTGGAAGTAGCTGTGATCCATAAAGCATTAAAGTTCCATAATTAGAACCCACTTACCCATCCACACAGACACAAACAGGTTACTATTGAATTAGTTTTCCTTATCTTTTTATTTTTTTTTAAAAAATTTATTGAGGACTCTGCCTACAATTACAAAGCCTTATAGCCAGAATACATAAGGCTTATTTGCTTATTAGTTTTTACCTTATAGTCACTCTCTAACCTTTTCTGCCATTATAAGGTTAGTTTGTTAACTTCATTATAATGCATGCAGCTTGTTGATGGCCTCCTTTAGAACCACAAAGCTTGGATTTGGCATTCCTAAGGTTTTATATGGCATCTACTTGGCAGGTCCCTTGCTCTTTGCGCCACCTCTTGCATCTGCTCACACTGCCCTCCCTCCTGTTGCTGTTGCCGCTGGCGCTTCCTTACCACCTTCTTTATGGCTTCACGTTGGCACTGCTCGTCGATGTTCTCCAACTGCAAACAATACTGTTGAAGCAACTGTTGTTACTGATGTTGGTTTGTGACCATCCTAAGTGCCAAATCATACGGCCTTCCCTACGATAAGTACCTCTCACAGTCACGGAGTTGTTGCCTCTTGATTTTTTGGTATGCATGGCAATTACATGGAGGATGGTGGCATTAGGCAGATGGGTGGGGGGCTTGGCAGGGGATTGAGGTGGCTAGGCTCTTGCTTCCATGTAAATTGGCATGCAAATACTGCCAACAGTATTGTTTTGCTTAAAGAGTGTGATGAAGAGTGAATTTTTTTTTTTTTTTTTGGGGGGGGGGGGGGGGGTGTGTTATGAAGGGGTGTTTTTTATTCCTGCTCAATAATGTCATTTGGCTACTGGTGTAGAGATGCAGAAATCCAATCTCTCATGCTAGTCCTCTTGTTAAGAGTCTTTATGTCATGGTACTGAGGACCTCGTTTACAAAGAAATACGCCGCCTGGGCGCTTTACCAGGACTAACTGAGAAAAGGCCTTTGTTTTGAGGTAATGAGTTGGCTCGAGTGTAATGCTCTTTTTAATTTGTTTATTTATCTGACTCATTCATTCAAGATCAATTTAGTGGTTGACTCATATCTGATCATTGTGTCTAACTTAAGATTTTCGTGAGTGTCATCTGAAACTCAAAGTGATCCCATGAGACAAGGATTGTTGTTGAAGTGCTAATGCTGCTGTTATGAAATTTCTGGTGTGCTGTTCATTGAAGATGAACAGGATTCTGTCACTGTGGTATGGGCTCCCTTCACTTCCCACAAACATCTTTGACTCAAACACTGTTTCCAATGTGTGTAGAATATCCCGTAACTTGTTCGACAATTGTTTATTGTATTAGAGTTGCTACTTTTTATGATGTAGTTTCTACTTTTTTAGATCATTACTTGTCTTACTTCTGGAGACCCCTCGAACTAGTTGATTTTTCAATGCTTGGTTGTCGACAAAGCATAATACATAGCATGCCAACAGATATAAATCCTAAAATGTTGATAAGTTCTACCAACTGCTTTGAGCTAGATATATGGATTTGTTTTCTCCAGTCCTTTTCTATAGTCATGTCTCTGACTCAAATTCATAGCAATAATGTAACTCGAATGATATTTGTTAGCAATGTTCAAGTACACCTGACAATCGTAATTTGTTTATTTTTGTGTGCTTTATTCTTCCTAAATAGTACGGGCATTGCTTGCTGTAATGTTCTTGTTTTGTTTCTACAATTTTTGTAGTGGCTAGGGTTGTTTTTTCTGTGAGCACCAAATTGCTTGCTATAATGTTTCTCTGTGGGCATGCTGTAACATGGTTGTGGTCTAAATCTTAGATACATTCAACACTTGTTCTGCAGGGCCCTTTTTTTCCCTGCATAACCAGTTTTTCCATCGGTGTTATGTGGTAATATTTAATGAATTTTGTTGTGGTGGGTGGTGCTGATGTTCTTGGGGTCTTTATTTTTAGTTGTTTTATAAATAGCAGTCATGTTGGTTTTAGTTGGGTCTATTGACAATATCTGATACAGTTGTTCTGTTATGTCAATTGGTTGAGAAACCATATTTGTACTACCTATATTTGATTGACATTATGCATAAAATTTTTTGGTACTTATTTGATTGATAGCTGTCTTCTTCTTCTTCTTCTTCAGTTAGATCTTGCATGCATTTGGGCATGTAAAAATGCTCTTCTCATTTTGTTTGTGCTGCTACGTCTGATTGATCATATTTTTAGCAGATTGGAAACAAATGTCTTTTATCTGCCTCGTACCATTTGGGATCAATTTGGTGGTTGACCCTTAATTGATATTTCAAATCATTGTATACAACTTAAGATTTTCATCAAACTAGAAGCTAAAGGCGATCCCATGGGACAAGGAATATAGTTGAAGTGCCAATGCAGCCAGCTGTTATGAAACGTTTTGGTGCTGTTTGTTGAAGATGAACTGTATTTTGTCATTCGTATTGGGTTTGCAAGTCATCTAGCTCCCTCCACTTCCCATAAAAATATTTAACTCGAGCACTGGTTTCCAATATGTAGAGACACTCCCATAACTTATTTGACAATGATTTATTATATTAGAGTTGCTATTTTTTATGATGGAGTTGTTACTTCTTATATGGTTGCTTCCCTTGCCATACTTCTGGGGCCCGGAAGAAGTTGACTTTCACGATACTTGTTTGTGGACATAGCATATTCCATAACATGCTAACATATCTGAATCCCAAAATGTGGGTAAGTCCTGTCAACTACTTTGGGTCCAGTACATGGATTTGTTTTCTCCAATCCTTATTCTCTAAAGCCGAGTCATTGACTAAAATTCATAACAATAATGTATCAAATGATAGTAGTTAACAATGTCCAAATACACCTAGCAATCCCACCTTGTTTATTATTGTGTGCTTTTGCTATTGACTTATTGCATTGTTGCTAATAGTATTGGCACTGCTTACTGTACTATTTTTTTTTGTGCCTGCAAATTTTGTAGTGACTAGGGTTTTTTCTCAATGGGCATTCGTTAGCATGGCTGGTGGTCTCAATCTTGCATGCATTAACACTTAATGCTGCAGGTGACGTTTTGTTTCCTGCCCAGTCAGTTTCCATATGAGTCTTATGCGGTGATTATTCAGAAATTGTGATGTGCTAAAATAGCATTCATGCCGGTGTTAGTTGGATTGGTCGGCCATATTTTATACAGTTCCACTCGCATGTCATTTGTTGAGAAACCCTATTTGTGCTAACTGTGTTGGTTGGCATTGTACACAAATTTCTTTGTCAGTATATCTTGTTGAGGCTCTAGTCTCATTAGATTGGTTGCCGCCTTCATCTTCTTATGCTAGATTTTAGATGCATTTTTGTGGGTGGAAATATTGTTATTTTTCTTTTGTAAGTGCAGCTATGATTTGCCCATTTTCAGCAAGATTGGAAGCTAACGTCCTTTATCTGCCTCACAAATCATTCAGGCAATTTGGTGGTTGACTCTATGAGTCATTTCTTCCCTCTACTGATTTGTTTTCTTCACACAACAAAATAAGAAAGAGTAACTTTAACATTTCAAATCAGTGTATTAAATGCCATTTTCTTCATCCAGAGGTTTTCATCAAGACTTCTAAATCTAATGGCAATGCCATGGAATAAGGATTGTGTTGAGTGCTAATGTAGCTGCTGCTGGGTAACTTTTTGGGTGATGTTCATTGACGGTGAACATAATTCTGTCACTGGTGTATGCGGTTATAAGTCATCTAGCTTCCTCCACTTACCACAAACATTGAACTCTTATTTTAAGCACTGATTTTCAGTATGTAGAGGCACTCCCATTACTTGTTCGACAATGGTTATTTAGTTTAGAGTTGCTAATTTTTATGACGAAGGGCTACTTTTTTAGATGGTTGTCTGTATCTTCTGGAGACCCTAAAACTTGTTGATTACTCGCGTTCCTTGGTGTGGACACAACATAATACATATCATGCCAACATATTTAGATTATCAATGGTAAGTTCTGCCAACTACTTTGGGTCAGGTACATGGATTTGTTTTCTCCAATCCCCCTTTTCTAAAGCCATGTCTTTGGCTAATATTCATAGCTCTAATGTGTAAAACAAATGATATCAGTTAGCAATATTCAAATACACCCTCAAAAAAAAAAAAAAAGAGAATCCTATGTTATTTTTTATTGTGTGCTTTTGTTTTTTGAATAATTGCATTCTTGCTAATATAGGGGCCTTGCTTGCTGTGATGTGATGTTTTGGTGCCTGCAAATTTTGTAGAGGCTAGGATTGTTTCTCCGTGGGCATGCTTTAACATGGTTGGTGGTCTCAATATCGCATACATTTAACACTTCTGCTGCATGCGGTGGCTTGTTTCCTGCACAATCAGTTTTCATATCAATGTGGTGATTGTCAGCAATTGTGTTGCATGGATTTTTGGTGTTGGATAAGAGTTCCTCTCATATGTTCATTTGTTGAGCACCCCTAATTGTACTAGCTGTGTTGATCTGCAGTGTACATATGAATTTCTCTTGTCAGTATATCTTGTTGAGGCTCTAATCTCATTAGATTGGTTGTTTTCATCTTCTTTTGATAGATTTTGCATGCATTTTTTGTGGGTAGAAACGCTATTATTTTCCTTTTGCAGGTGCTGCTATGATTGATCATATTTTTTAGCAGATTGGAATCAACGGCCTTTTCTACCTTGCGAGACCATTCAGGCACTTTGGTGGTTGAATGTATAATTCATTTCTTCTTTTTTGGAAAAAAAATTCACGCAAAAGGCAAGAATAAAAAGTAGCTTTGACATCCCAAATCTGTGTATCAAATGCCATTTCCTTTGTCCGGAAGGTTTTCATTGAGGTCAACTAAAGCTAAAAGTGATACCATGGGACAATGATTGTGGTTGAAGTACCTAATGCAGCTGTCGTTTTGATGCTGTTCATTGACGATGAACTGGATTCTATCACGGATGTATGGGATTGCAAGTCATCCAGCTCCCTCCACTTCCTATTTATTGACCTATTATTTTAAGTCCTTTCAGCATATGATACACTCCTAGTACTTGTTCGACAATTTTTTTTTTTAGTTTAGAGTTGCTACTTTTTATGATGCAGTTGCTTGCTTTTCTTCTGGAGGCCCTGCAACTTGTTTATTGCTCACAATCCTTGGTTGTGGACTCAGCATAATACAAAACATGCCAACAGATTTAAATCTCGGCAGGATGGTAAGTTCTGCCAACTGCTTTGGGTCAGGTACCTGGATTTGTTTTCTCCAATCCTCTTCTTCTAAAGCTGTGTCTTTGCCTAAAATTCGTGGGAATAATGTTAAATAAACGACATCAGTTAGCAATGTTCAAGTACACCCAAGAATTCTATATTGTTTGTTGTGTGCTTTTTTTATTGAATAATTGCATTCTTGACCTAAACCCTAAACCCTAATAGTGTGGGCACTACTTGATATAATGATTTTGTGTTGTACCTGCGATTTTTTTGTGGCACTAGAGTCATTTCTCTTGTGGGCATGCTTTAACATGGCTGGTGTCTCAATCTTGTAGACTTTCAACACCTCTGATGCAGGTGGCGGTTTGTTTCTTACACAACAGTTTTAATATCAGTCTTAGGTGGTGATTGGTCTAGGGATTTTTGACTTTCTGCTTCTTGGAGGTCTTTACTTTTAGGTGCTCTAAAATAACATACATGTCGGTGTTAGTAGTTGGGTTGATTGGCAATATTGATACATTTCTTCCTTATCTTGATTTTCTTTTGTGTGCGCCAAAGGAAACAAGAGAGTAGCTTTAATATAACAAATCATTGTATCAAATGTCATTTCCTTCATCCATGAAGTTTTCATCAAGGTCAACTAAAGCTAAAAGCGATCCCCATGGCACAAGGATTGTTGTTGAAGAGCTAATGCAGCTGTTGGGAAACTTTTTGGTGCTTTTCATTGCCGGTGAACTGGATTCTTGCACTGGTGTGTACGGGGTTGTGAGTCATCCAGCTCCCTCCACTTCCCATAAAGATTTAATTCTTATTTCAAGCACTGATTTTCCATATGCAGATACACTCCTATTACTAGTTTGGCATAGGTTTCTGATATTGCTACTTTCTAGATGGTTACTTGCCTTTCTTTGGGAGGCCCTGGAATTTGTTGGTTGCTGACCATCCTTGGTTGTGGACATGACATAATATAGAGCATGCCAATAGGTTTAAAGCTCAGTAGGATGGTTAAGTTCTGCCAACTGCTTTGTGTCGGTACATGGATTTGTTTTCTCCAATCTTCCTCTTCTAAAGTGGGGTCTTTGGCTAAAATTCATATAGCAATAATGTAAAACAAATGATAGCAGTTAGCAATGTTCAAATACACCCAAGAAAAAGGAATCCTATGTTGTTTATTGTTGTGAGCTTTTGTTATTGAATAATTTCATTCTTTTTTATAGTATGGACACTGGTTTCTATAGAATTTTTTTTTTTTTTTGTGCCTGTGAATTGTAGTGGCTAGGGTGTTTCTTCATGGTGGTCAACATCTTGCATAGATTTAACATTTCTGCTCTGCTGCAGGTGGCGTCTTGTTTCCTGGACAATCAGTGGATTTAACTGCTAATCTTACGGTTATTTCATGTATTAAATGACATTTCCTTCATCCAGAAGGTTTTAATCAAGGTCAGCTAAAGATAAAAGCGATCCCAGGATTGTTGTTGAAGTGTTAATACTACTGTTGTTGGGAAACTTTTTGTTGTGTTGTTCATTGAAGATGAATTAGATTTTGTCATTGGTGTAAGGGTTTGTAAGTCATCCAGCTCCCTCTGCTTCCCATAATATTTGTGGAAATTATATTTTTAAATAAAAAATAGAGTCAAAATGTATTAAAATAAAATAATGACTAATTTTATTTTTAATTAGGAGACGAATTATATTCCAACTAAGTTGACACTTATTTATTTATCTATAATTTGTATTACTCTATCCTTTAAAACTTAACTTAATATATGAAAAATAAAATAATATATTATTTATATATTATATATAGTAACTAAAATTTTAAAATTTTAAATTCTGACAGGAAGAGATTTATTTTAAAATTTTAAATTTAATGGTATAAAAATATAATTTATTTCAAAGGATGAGTGCGTTGGTTGGTTATATGGGCTTGGCGGGTTGGTTTGATGGGCTGGGTAATAGATTTGAGGGCAAATTTAAGCCATTTTTTAAAGAATATTGAGTTCGAATTTGGGTGAGCTATCTATCGAATTTTGGACTTATTTTTTTAGTCTTAATAACAAATTAATAGTAGGGGTGTTCACCTTACCTTACGGGTAGAAAATTTAGTCTTTCGTCTTCTTATTCGATACTTTGCGGAAGAATTTTTTCTTGACTTACCCTTCTCGATCAAGTGTAGTATTCTTACTCGACTTCCTATTCGATTAATCGGATAGAAAATCGGGTAAACATTTTTGTAATTATTAATTTTTAAATCATTTTAATAGTTCAATTAAATAACATGCATTAATTTAATAACACAATAAATCAATAACACTAAAACTTAAAATAACTACAATAATAATTACAATAAAATACAAGAAAGTATGAACATCAATTCATCATAATTATTACACAATTACAATGATAATTATTTTAAATTTAAACTATATGAAACACATTAAAATTATAACTGCTCCAATAAATTATTAGTTTACCACAAATCATGTAACTTACATAAAAAACAGTCCAGTAACTCATACATCCACAATAATAACAATGCTATAATATAAATTATACTACATAAATATTCTTATAATTATTAAAATAATATAAATAAGTTAAATATATTTTTTGCGAGTAAGGTAGGATAAAAATACAAAAATTAATGACTATTTCGTATTTTTATCCGATTTAATCAGAAGATTAAAATTCTTTTAATATTTTTATCCGATTTTTACAGCTACTTGTTCGAATAGGAAATTACGTCGATCAAAAATTTAAACACCCTTAAGAATAATATGTCGTCGTCAAAAGTAACGTTGTTGTCAGATATGACTGAAGAATGAATCGCATGGTCATGGCAATATTTGTACTCGCTACATATAACGGCCACGTTAGTTATCTTGATTCATTCTTCAGTCATATCTGGGCCCACCAAGAATAGAGGTAGCAAGTACAGTGTTCTAGCACGCACCTGATGATTCTCTCTGGTATCCCACGGGCCACCGCCACCGACGTCTCCACCGAACCATCTCTTTTTATCTCCAAATTGTTGACTCTTTTTTCTTTCGTTCACTGAATTTATCTGCTTCTCGACCCATTAGGTTTCAGTTTCTTCTCCTACCTTACTCACAATTCAAAACCCTAATCTTCGGATCAGGTGCTCTCTCCCTCTATCCCTATGTTTTTTGATCTTCAATTCGGGGTCGATTGTGTGTTTTATTTTTAGTTTAGATCTGTTTGGTTACGGTCCTTTGAAATCTGTGTGTGTGTGTGTGTGTGTGTGTGNTATTTTTTGATCTTCAATTCGGGGTCGATTGTGTGTTTTATTTTTAGTTTAGATCTGTTTGGTTACGGTCCTTTGAAATCTCTGTGTGTGTGTGTGTGTTTTTGACAGATTATGCGATTGGTTGAGTTTCGTATATTAGAGAAGAATTATGTGTTTGTTTTTACAGTTTCCATTTTATATGCGATTGATTGAGTTTCATATGTTATAGAACGTAATTCGCGTTAAACGAGAATAACATATGGTTTGTTAAAGACCTGAATTCTGTTTTTCATCGTGGTTGTTTGTAAGTTCGTCTTAATCATGTTATAAATATGGGTGGAGACCTATTTTTTTTTTTTTTNTTGTCATTGGTGCAAGGGTTTGTAAGTCATCCAGCTCCCTCTGCTTCCCATAATATTTGTGTAAATTATATTTTTAAATAAAAAATAGAGTCAAAATGTATTAAAATAAAATAATGACTAATTTTATTATTAATTAGGAGACGAATTATATTCCAACTAAGTTGACACTTATTTATTTATCTATANTCTGTCTGTTGTGCGAATATTGTTCATCTGGGTTCTAATTTTCTTGTGAAAGATTTTGGTTTCTTCTAGTGCTACGTTGAGCTGTGAAATTTCTTTTTATATTGTTGAATCAGGGGAATTTCTTTGCTTCTTGTGGAAGTTGAAATTTTNATCTTAATATATGAAAAATAAAATAATATATTATTTATAGTAACTAAAATTTTAAATTCTGACAGGGAGAGATTTATTTTAAAATTTTAAATTTAATGGTATAAAAATATAATTTATTTCAAAGGATGAGTGCGTTTGGTTGGTTATATGGGCTTGGCGGGTGGATTTGACGGGCTGGGTAATGGAATGGATTTGAGGGCAAGTTTAAGCCATTTTTAAAAGAATATTGAGTTCGAATTTGGGTGTGCCATCTATCGAATTTTGGACTTATTTTTTCAGTCTTAATAACAAATTAATAGTAGGGGTGTTCATCTTACCTTACGGGTAGAAAATTTGGTCTTTCGTCTTCTTACTCGATACTTTACGGAAGAATTTTTTCTTGACGTACCCTTCTCGATCAAGTGTCGTATTCTTACTCGACTTCCTATTTGATTAATCGGGTAGAAAATTGGATTAATATTTTTGTAAATATTAATTTTTAGATCATTTTAATAGTTCAATTAAATAACATGCATTAATTTAATAACACAATAAATTAATAACACTAAAACTTAAAATAATTACAATAATAATTACAATAAAATACAAGAAAGTATGAACATCAATTCATCATAATTATTATACAATTACAATGACAATTATTTTAAATTTAAACTATATGAAACACATTAAAATTATAACTGCTCCAATAAATTATTAGTTTACCACAAATCATGTAACTTACATAAAAAAAAATTCATGTTTTAGTAACTCATACATCTACAATAATAACAATGTTATAATATAAATTATATTACATAAATATTCTTATAATTACTAAAACAATATAAATAAGTTAAATATATTTTTTGCGAGTAAGGTAGGATAAAAATACGAAATTTAATGAGTATTTCATATTTTTACCCGATTTAATCAGAATGCTAAAATTTTTTTAATATTTTTACCCAATTTTTAGACTATTTGTTCGAATAGGAAATTACGTCGATCAGTAATTCGAACACCCTTAAGAATAATATGTCGTCGTCAAAAGTAACGTTGTTGTCAGATATGACTGAAGAATGAATCGCATGGTCATGGCAATATTTGTACTCGCTACATATAACGGCCACGTTAGTTATCTTGATTCATTCTTCAGTCATATCTGGGCCCACCAAGAATAGAGGTAGCAAGTACAGTGTTCTAGCACGCACCTGATGATTCTCTCTGGTATCCCACGGGCCACCGCCACCGACATCTCCACCGAACCATCTCTTTTTATCTCCAAATTGTTGACTCTTTTTTCTTTCGTTCACTGAATTTATCTGCTTCTCGACCCATTAGGTTTCAGTTTCTTCTCCTACCTTACTCACAATTCAAAACCCTAATCTTCGGATCAGGTGCTCTCTCCCTCTATCCCTATATTTTTTGATCTTCAATTCGGGGTCGATTGTGTGTTTTATTTTTAGTTTAGATCTGTTTGGTTACGGTCCTTTGAAATCTCTGTGTGTGTGTGTGTGTTTTTGACAGATTATGCGATTGGTTGAGTTTCGTATATTAGAGAAGAATTATGTGTTTGTTTTTACAGTTTCCATTTTATATGCGATTGATTGAGTTTCATATGTTATAGAACGTAATTCGCGTTAAACGAGAATAACATATGGTTTGTTAAAGACCTGAATTCTGTTTTTCATCGTGGTTGTTTGTAAGTTCGTCTTAATCATGTTATAAATATGGGTGGAGACCTATTTTTTTTTTTTTTGTCTCTTGTGCGAATATTGTTCATCTGGGTTCTAATTTTCTTGTGAAAGATTTTGGTTTCTTCTAGTGCTACGTTGAGCTGTGAAATTTCTTTTTATATTGTTGAATCAGGGGAATTTCTTTGCTTCTTGTGGAAGTTGAAATTTTCTGGGTATTATCTACGAAACAAATTGGGTGGAAAAGTTCTGTTTTGATTCCTTGTATGACATGACGGTTACATTTTCCTGTAAAATATGGGGCTCTTGGTCTTCTTTTCA